TTATGAAATAAAAAATATTTTTAAGGTGGTTTTTTAAATCAAGTTATCATAGAAATGTTTAATTTTTTTGTGTAATGAAGTTGAAGTTTTGAAATTGACGTGTGCAAAATTCTGCGGCACGTTAACGATAAGATAAAACAGAAAAACAAAATGTTAAAAATGTAACCTTTCACGTATAACTTGGTGACAGATAAGGCTCACAGACGCTTCTTTAACTAATTGCACACAAATCTTACCATAGACTTTTCTAAACAACGAGTATATAATATAATATAATAGTTTTAAAAATTACGGTTTTAATAATCACAAAAAAGTAATAGGTCAACGGTCATTCTGGAAAGATATTTACGTGCATAAACTTGCATATAAATTTAATCTCGAAAAGTAAACATAATCTTATCTTGTTTTCGTTCGATGAAGATGCAGCTCTTGATTTACTATCGTATGTTGCATATTATTTTATTAAGATATACACATAGTTTTAATATTATCCAAAATATGCAGATATTTGTAATGTTGAATGAATCCTGGTGAGGCACCTCAAATTTTCGGCACCTTACTAAAAAAACCACCTTAATACATCTTAAATATATTTTTTTTAATTATGTGCTTAATTTAAATTAAATAGAATTTAATATTTTTTAGTGTATTGCTATATATCTATATTCCTTAGTATATTTTTTGATTTATTACCACTAATCCTTAATGTTGTACTACCATTAAATGAATCACGGCCGTTTCAACTTTTGGTCCTCGCGGAGTACTTTGTTAACCAGGAGAGATGTGGTCACTATTTAATATTACACGAGATACTAACCGGTTACATAACAATGAATATATTGTGCGGTATTGGTGTGATATTTGTAACGTATATAATGCACGGATGTGCATTGTTAAAAATCGCAAGGTAATGTGAAATGCACTTTCCTTTCCTTAAAGACTTGTTTTAATTTAATATTTAAATAGATTATATTTAAATAGATTTATACAGTTATCGAATAGAGAATGCGATCGAGAAATGTATATTAATGGTTTCTAGTCCTAGAAGGAAGTATCTACTTAATAAAAAAATTGTACATGCAGTTGTTATACATCAAAGAGCTATCCAGTCAGTATCTTTGTATTTTCATTATAACACTTTCTATAGATTTAATTTCCATAGTATTCTATTTTTCGAGTTTTTATCCATTAAATGTAATTTACTGTTTCTGAAAATATCTTTACTGCATTTTCAATATTAAATTAATTATATCTTATTATATTTTACTTTATTAATATATCAAATCACACGCTTTGAATATTGAACTGATTAAAATTAATTATTTTCTAGTAAAATAGTAAATAAGTAAATTAAACATTTGTTACATTAATAACGACATAACGTTTTTGTCACATTATACATATATAGAATCAATCGATTAGATAGAATCAGCTCTTTCCAATGTTAAATATATAATTTACATATATTTGTATGATAGTGTAACAGTTCTCGTAAATGTTTATTATCTCATCTTCATTATTATCTCACCTTAATTATATCGATAATATATATGTATTAGTTCCAATATTCAGTTCCTTCTTAAAGATATACTGATTTTGTGATTTCCACTTATACAACGTTACTCGCTATTCTGATCATAGTGGGCGTCTGCTCTTTAAGTATCAACCTTTTCCAAGTTAATAACTTTACTTTCTTTCTATAGTTAATTATTAATTGCGTAATAATTGATCTTTTATCGTAGTCTTTTCAACTTATGACACTCATGAATGATATTCGTGCAATAACTGTTACTACTATAGTCATAATTGGTCATTTGAATTATATGTTTGTTCTTAATTATGCTGGACAAGAATTAATAAATCATGGATTACATTTTTTCAAAGCAAGGTATCATATTTCTTCATCATATTGAAACTATTTTACATTTATATAGATTGTCATGCAGATTTATTATTTAGATTTGGCTTTTTGATAAGTATTGTTATGTTTCGATATTCTACTTAATATACATTAGTTAATTTAACACTAATTAAATTAAAAATATTTTTTTCTTTTCATTATTTCAAATTGATTTTATGTAAATCAATTTATAGCTATAATGGACTATGGTATGCAGCACCTTTGCATACTCAAAAATTATTATTATTTATAATGCAAAGGGGAACAATAAATACTATTTTTATATGTGGTAGAATATATGTCGCATCTTTGGAAGGATTCGCTTCGGTAAGATTAAAATTTTTTTAACTACTGATAAAAAAAGATCAAGTTGTAATGTGTATACATATAATGTACAGAATATTCGTTTTTCAGCTTGTGAGTATGGCAGCATCTTACTTTACAGTGATTTATTCTACGCACTAAACTATTATGAAAGAAAATTTATTTTTAATTAGGCATTTTTTTGTCAAATTAGTAAAATATAATAAGTTAGTTGAGAGATATAAAATACATTTATTGAAAATTTTATTGAAAATGTCATATACTGAGTTTGTTTGTGATTTTTTATTCAAAACAACTATTAACAGCTAACATAAATAATACTCTAAAGAAGAAAACGTACTGTGTGATCAAGTTTATCAACATAATTAATTATAGATTAATTAATATACATATATATATTATATATATTATATATAAAATTCAGACTTTTTAAAATGACGCAATGCAATATGGCGAATAGGACGATAATTATCGTCCGATAATCATCGCAACCATCTTTGGAAACCACTTCTACATCTTAATGGACCAAATCTCGCAAATTTGTGACATAATATTATTCTACATCTTCACTTTCTTTATTTTTGTCACACATACGCAGTAGCGAGTATATTTTACAATGTATCGAACAATTCATCAGTCTTTTCTTAACCACGAACCGAAACTTACGTTGATGAAATACAGTTCCGGAATGATGACTCCACTTCGAAGTTTGACAAAGTTTAATAACTTTACATGTTTCTAATTACATACAGACTCCAAACTATTTTCAATATTGCTACTTAATCAGCTTCTATTATAAAAACGCGTGAATTAGAAAAGGAATATACGATTATTGATGATAAAAATATTAAACTACACACTTAGTCAATTGTATGTCCAATCAATTGCATATTTTAATGATTGTCACATTTTCTGAGTAACAAATTTAAAAAAATCACTTTAAATTATTGTTTAATAGTTCATTCATAATTGGAATAAACCGCTTCCATGTTTCATGTTAGTCATTTAATGTAAATTTTACGTTAAAAACGAGATATTTATACAAGGTCCCGCAATTTTTTGCCAAGCGCTTTTGTGTAGATAGAGTGGACTAACAATAAGTCGAAAAGTCTTCTATCATTTTGCAATTTTCGCAATGGTTAACGAGATATTAATTACTAAAAATTACTAAATATTGATCTTCAATAATGTTTTACTCAAATACCATCAACTTTACAGAAAAAGCAAGAGCCAAAAATTGTTTATTTTCTTTTCATAGAGCTCTAATAATTTTTTCAGAATTTTTAAATACCGTATTTTGTCATGTTGGTAAAAATAGTTGCCAATTAGAAAATGCAGTACTAAAAAGTTAATAAAAAATTCTGAAAAAATTCTTAGAGCTCTATGAAAAAAAAGAAACAATTTTTGTATCTTGTTTTTTTTTGTAAAGTATTTGATAGTATTTGAGTAAAAAATTATTGAAGTCCAATATTCGGCAATTTTTAGTAATTAATATCTTGTTAACCATTGCGAAAATTGCAAAATGATAGAGGACTTTTCGACTCAGTTTAGTCCGCTCTATCAACACAAAAGCGCTTGGCAAAAATTGTGGGACACCCTGTATACATACGTACATACGTATATTTAAATATATGTTTATATATTTAAATATGTGTTAGATATAAAATATGGGAGGGCCTCGTTTGCCTACAAATTGATTGCCTACATGTGTTATTGTCTACATTTACTTTTGCGCACAAATAAAAATTTTAGAAACAGAGTTACTTTTGCCTACATGTATTATTGCCCACAGCTCGATTGCCTACATACATTATTGCCTACAGCTCATAATCTTCCACTACCTCACATCAACAAATGGTTTGGTTAAGATTAGATTTTTTTGGAAAAATATTTCAAGCGGACACTGCCTACGCTGACACCCCACTGTTCACATGACAGATTTTCTAAAAATATAAATTATTTTCTTACTTAAAGTTATTTAATTATATATTTGTGCGCCAAAGTGCTTGTAGACAATCGAACTGTAGACAAAAATACATGTAGGCAATCGAGGTGTAGGCAAAAAAATACGTGTAAGCAAAAGTAACTCTACTTCTAAAAATTTTATTTGTGCGCAAAAGTGCATGTAGACAATAGAGCTGTAGGCAATGATACTTGTAGGCAATAGTACATGTAGGCAAAAGTAACTTCGTTTCTAAAATTTTTATTTGTGTGCAAAAGTGCATGTAGGCAATCGAGCTGTAGGCAATCTATTTGTAGGCAAATGAAATGTAGGCAAAAGGTGCTGTAAGTAATCAATTTGTAGACAAAAGGGGCCCTCTCATAAAATATATGTGTATATATATATTATATATGTATATATATTATATATGCAGTATATGTATGTATATTTTATAATTTTTAGATGAATATATTTTTTATACTTTTTAAAAAATGTATATAGCAAAGTTTGACTTACATGATTCGCAATGCACTTTGTAGGTAATTCAATGCGGGATGAGAAAGGCATCTTATGTCGTCTCTAAACAATCTGAAACCCTTTACACTATACTAAGAAATAGAAGTCATGATTGCGTTTGCGCAAAAAATTATTCAAGCTATATGTTTAAGAAACACCACTCTGAATTATAAATTGAGGTAATTCAGACTAATTCGTTTCTATCTATGTAATGACATATATTGCTTCAATATTAAATTGGCATAAATGTCTCCTTGCAACTATTCTTATATTGATCATTTGAAATTCGTAAAATATTCGAGAAAAATAATTCGTACTATGGACGCAGTTGTGTCAGCGCTCTCGTATGAAATGCATGAGATCGGGGAACGTTATTATAAGATTAACCGAGTAATTCTTAAAATGCTTGGGTTATGTCCCTATCAACAATCATATTTTACGCACATACATAAAGTTCTCTATGCTAGTATTCTTTTAACATTTATTCTTTCTCAGGTATATTAAATCTAAAATTATATGTGATGTTATATTGAAATAGCGATATTTTTTAAATACACGTATTAATAAATGCTTTTCTTTATTTTTTCTACATTTTTTTTATCTAGCTTATATATATATTATATAT